ATAAAGAGACACTACAGATCGAGGATTTAGAAATTGACGATTTTTGTTTGGAGGGTCAGTATCGATTTGGACTGAAACAAAGATAAGATAAAGACTTAAGAGTGTGGTTGATACAAAGAGGTTGACGTTGGATTTCATGTGTCATTCGGTTAGTTGAATTGACTAACGTTGTTTTGGTCGATTTAGTTGATTTTTTCATTTAAATTATCTGTCGCATATAAATGACGTCACTAATACTTTTTGTGTTATTGTGTTATGTCTGAGTTGACATTCTAATAAATAGAGAGTGATATGAAACTCTAAAAAGTTGTTAACTGTCCGTACTTAAAATTTCAAATCAATTCAAAATCATCGCAAAAGAAGAATTAGATTAAATTGATGATTGAAGACCATGGATCAAGAAAACTAGTTCCTTACCCAAATTTAAACACTCCACGAGACGATCTGTAAATATACTTGAATATCTAAGCATGCACGTTTAAATCAAGAATTGCAAAGGGATGAACTCTTAATCATCAAGTAAAATCGCAAGTAATTTTATTCTATCCAAATAAACATTATGTTCACGTGATTAAATCCTAAATCTCAAACGGGATAAGCTAGAGGACTATACTATCCTTAACTGAGGTGGCATAATTTATTTTAAAAAATATCTAAATACGAGAACTCTTATTAAAGCCACATCCATTCAAAAACATAAAATATGAAATTAATAAAATTATAATAATAAAAATTTAACACAACTCCACCATCTCCTTCGTTATCTTCATTTGGCACCACATAGCAGTCGATCAATAAATTTTGTTTAGGGGCTTTAATTCAACAAATTTACCCAGAGAACTTGGTATCGGATATTACAATTTTGAACTGCGGATCTAAAACTTTATGTTAGGAGATTATATTAAAATAATTTGAACAATTGACATGTTCTCCCCTTGAACTTTCACTGTTGTGTTTAATAGATTTTTAAATTAGAAAAATAATAATTATTATTAAAATTTCAATTTTACAAGTTCACAAAATTTAAAATGAATATCTAATAGGTGTTCTTAAACTCATAGACACACTAGTACAACCTAAAAGAGTTCTTTTTCAAATACGGTGATTTGAACCACTATATTCTTGAATTTTAAGAAGAGTCTAATAGGTTAAAATTCTATAAAACATAAAATTGAAAATTTGAAGACCAACTATTATTTGCAAAATCGAAAATTTGGAGACATATTGGATTTTTTTTTTAAGTTAAGAGCCTATTAAACACAACTATCAATATTTATGAATCAAACTTATATTAAAAAAATTATAGGTAAATATATAAGATAGAGAATGTAACTTTGAAATTATAAATCAAATTTTCTTCTGTTAAGAGAGTTATATATTGCACACAAATTCTAAAGTTCCAGGGGCGTTCGACCCACCATACATTCTCGCCCCTAATCACATATAGTATAGAGCTTCCATCCGTATTTACCATCTTTACATTCATTCAATTGAATATTGTTTGGATGTGAGAGTCGAAAATTAGTTGTAGCGTATTCTTATTAATTTTTGGTGAGATTCCGTACATATATTTTTATTATCATTATCATTTTTATCATATTATGTCCATAAAAACAAAAGTCCTCTAAAATTTTCAAAATCTGACTAAAGATTCCTTCCGATCGTCCTACATTTATGTAACTTTTTTTAATCACAAAAAAGGATCTTATAGAAGTAAGTTTTAGAAACTTATCTTAAGAGGAAAGATAAATTTAAATCTCTGAAGTTATATTTTAGTCTTTAAAAATTAAAATACTTATATGTTTTTTCGGAGGGCAAAATACTTATATTATTGTTATTATTTTATCACTTAATACTTAATCGGTCTAATAAATGCCATATCATTTTATTAATGCAAATATTTGATCTAATTATTTATTTCTTAAATCATTCACAACAAATTAATTGAAAAAGAAAACAAAAGTTAAGAGTTTAGTTGGGCAGTCATGAATCCAAATGTTACATCAAATAATAATAATAATAATAATAATAATATTTTTTTCTAAATTTAGAGACAAATAGATTTCCTTCAAAGCTATATCACAAAACTCATTTGACATGACTAGACAAAACAACATACTAAGTGGAAGAAGGTCTGTTAGACAATTACTCAATTATGGACCAGACATTTGATAAATTTTAATCAAAGTATTATAGTGACAATATACTTTTTAAATATAAGGTTAAATCATAGTGACTAATTAAAAATCTTACATAATTAGCTAGTATAGTGTGAGAGGTCCTAATTCATTAGTTCATTAATCTTGATAATGTATTTTTGGAAAATACACGTGCAAACAAATTAAAGTTTTTTAAATTTTTTAATTGTGAGCCACAAATCTCCTAACAAATTACATTATCCATATTTTTTTTTATTTTTTCTTCATCATAGTTAATTGGTTTAAATCATATTTTGGTCATCAACTCTTAAATTTTACATATAGTATAACTTAATTAATTAAAGTATATTTCTTCAAAGGTTGAAAGTTTGAACTTAAAAAAAAAACTTTTAAATGTTATATTTTAATCTTTTAAATTTTGAAGATTTTATTTTAGTTTCCAAAAAATTATTTTTGACATTGTTGTTAATTTTCCACCAATCATTTAGTAACAAATCTAAAGTTATTTTGAACTTATATTTACTATATCTCACTTCAAATATTTGTCTGTTAGACTAAATATATACTTATTCATATTGTATTTCTAAAAAAATGTAAAGATTAAAGTAATTTTGTATGTAAAGTGCACAAACTAAAAGAAGAAATTTAAAAGTTAAAGAGAGGAAACAAATATAAAAGTTCCAGATCAAAAATAAAATTTAAACTAAATTAATATTAATATATAACAAAAGGGAATCTTTATTATTGCACTTAAAATATATATATATATATATCAATCAGATGGGTGGACTTCAGTTTCCAATTGCCACAGTAAAATGAAACAGCACACGTTGTAATATTTTTCTTTTGGAAAAAAGAAAAAAAATGCCACCATTTTTAATACTAAAATATATATCTCTCTAGTTTCGAGGATTCATCAAATTATTTTAGTAGATTTTTTTTTGTTCAACGACATGAAGTTAAAGATTTCAACTGAAAATATATGATTTAACTAGTTGAACTATGTTCAAATTAGCGTTTTAATCATATTCTTTTTACATTATTAAGAGCAAGAGAATTGAAATCTTATAAGTAGGGGAGGGATGTAGACCGATCGATGTTAATTTTAAGCACAAATACTCTAAAAATCGACCATTTAAAAATAGACGATTTTGATTTAGATGGTCCATATCGATTTTGACTAGAACCTAGACAAGATGGAGCGTTATTGATAGAGAGGCTGATGTTGGAGTTCAAGTGTCATTCGATTAGTTGAATGAACTGACATCGATGTGGTTGATTAAGTTGATTTTTTTAAAATTAAATTACCTCATATAAAAGAAGTCACTCATGCTTTAAGCATTCAAGCCAAAGCGAACATCGATAATTAACATCTCAAACCAAATGGTTGTGAGTTCGAAATTTCAACCCCGCATGTCCCTGTACTAAAAAAAAATGACATTTCAAAAAACACATGGACTCTTGAACTTAATTATTCACTTTATTGCATATTTTTGATTTTGATTTTGCCAAATTTCAATTTTATATCCAGTATATTCCTGAAACTTTAATTTTATATTTAATAAATTTTTGAATTTTTAATATATTTTAAAGTTTAAGGACCTATTATACAATATTTGAGACCTAAACAGTTTAGTAGACGTTTTTATTCAAACTTATAATTGAAATTAAAATTTATTTCTATTTCTAGGTTGATAAAAGTTAAAATATATATATATATATATAAGTAAATTAATTAATATATCATTTTAACCCTTTCTAAGTCTAAATAAATTCCCTTTCTTTTTTTCTTTTTCTTTTTTTTTTAATTCTTTACTATGAAATGACTTGTTTTCTTAATATCAAATTCTCAAAAAATTATAAAATTGAAAAAAAAAATCTTCACTTTGTGTCCATTTTTTCATAGCTCCTACGCACGTTATACATTTTTTTAGTACAACATGTGGTGATGAGGGATCAAACTCATTACCTCTTGGTTGAATGTCAATTATCGTTAAGCTCGCTTTGATGCACACGTTGATACATTAAATACACCTCCATGAGATACGCAGCGAACTTTTTGAGACGCTTTTTTCTTAATGTATGCATCCATGGCAACGTCTGCACCCATCAGTCCAACACATTTCAAAATTTCAGTTTATGTCGAACTTTAGAGACAACTAATAACACACACTTTCTACTTCTTGTTTTATTCGACTGGTGAAGAGTTGCTAAATTGAATTTGATCCTTAAACTTTTAATAATATATCTAATAAATCTCTAAATTTAAAAAAATAGCTAATAAATTTTCCTGAACTTCACAAACCCATTACATTTTTAAATGTAAAAGTCTCAGTTTACATATTCGTGATTGTTTAAAAGTGCCTAAAAGACCTATTGGACATCAAATTAAAATATCATTGACCACACTTCAAAAAAAAAAAACAAAACAAAACAAAAAAAGCTCTTTGACCAATTAGACATTTTAAAATCCAGACAAAATTAAAATCTTTGATACTCGTTAAAAGTTTAGTCTCGTAATTTAACCTATATGAAATTACCAATCTTTACTTGCTACCATCATCTTTTCAAAATCCAACTTGAAAATTACCGGCATCTCCTAACCTCACCCCATAATTCAAGAAAAATTTTATAATACTCCCGACGTACTTCCTCCATTCACACTAAAGATTTTCTTCGTAAAAAACTGTTTATTGCGGTTGAAGTTCGACAACATCCGTAAACAATTGATGTGGCTGACAATAAATAAATAGTAATGGTAGTAGCATCACAAGAGATGAATTGGTATTTTAAAAAGGAGCCTAAAAATCTCAAATTTCATTCTACATGGAAAAAGCAAGCCACAAGAATCGTGAATTTCAATCTGAACATGAAACCAGTTGGCTCTGAAACAAGCATTTTCTAAATTATATACAGGCCTCGGATATTCAAACATCTCTATATAACTTCATAGTTTCTGGATCTCTAAAAAGGTAAGCTCATCCTTTTAACTGTAAGTATTTTTACTCACCTACAATAACTTCGGCTATAGCTCCGGCTCCTGCTTCGGCTATAGCTGCGGCCCCTTGAATCATAAGGTGACCTCAAGTAGGACCGCTCCCTGTACCTCCGGTCTCTTGGTGAGATTGACCTAACATAACACAAATGAGGTTAGAATAAACCACCATGCGCTCTATTATTATTTAGTTCAACGTATTATTTAGTCCAAAATGTGGGGTAGGGATTCAAACTGCAGACCTTCTGGCCGAGATACAGGCCTTAACTAGCACTCTCTTTTCTTAATTCATTTGATGAAAATCATATGCTACGAAAATTGTTTGGATAAAATCTAATAATGGAAAAAGAATACATATAACTGCGCACCGTGAATATCGGCCAGACTGAGCAGGGGAATAGTACTCTGGGCTACGTGAATATTTTCGATCATAGTGTGGTGATCGAGAATATCGCAGTGGAGAGCGCCTGTAGTTGTAGGACCGACCCCTGGTAACAATTTCACAAACAAATAATACAAACATGAGTATTGATATTTTAAAAATGGACAATAGATTGATAAAAAAAGAACACAGACTGCAACGGTGATCAGTAGTCTTTGAAAACAAACATACAGACTTTCCTTTTCCTTAACAAGACAAAAGATGGTGGTTATCGAATGGTGAAGTCAATTTACTCAGAGTCCTTGAATTCATATCTCACAAAAGGGATCAACCCTCGATCTCATTTTTTCTACAAAATTGGAAACTCAAGAAAATCCAAGGAGAAGAAAGATCTCAGGACCAATGCTGGCTGTGCCTCAGCCTAAAAAGAAACTTAAGAGGCATATGAAATTTTTGAGGATGCTTCTAGGGAATTTATAGAAGTTGAGAGATCAATTTTTCATCACGCATCCTAGCTTAGCAAAGCAATAGAAATAGGCAACCAGAAATCAGTTTAAAGAAAGAGATGACAACCTGGATGAGTCTCTTGCTCTCATCTCTTCAGGTCTCTTCCTATTCTCCTCAGCAAATACAACAGTTAATTCACGACCCAGGAGAACTTGGCCATCCAGTTCATACTTGGCATCAGTGGCATCAGCAGGATCAACAAACTGAACAAATCCAAAGCCACGTGGCTCTCTGCACCACAATCATAACATTCATAAATACAAATTTTGACAATGGATGTTAACTAACCCACTTGGAAAATTTCAATAAATGTCAATTTGACCAGTGGCGTCATTGCAATCAACAATCAATCCAGAGATTAATTGGAAATGATAGAAACGTCTACCGAGAACTCAAACAAGAGAATCTGAACATCACCATGCTAACCTTCTGAGTGGCAAAGAAAAAAGTGAGATGAAATTCTTCAAGACTTGAACTTCTTCTCAATGAATTCAAACCCAACTTCCACTGAATCTTCATGTACACATTAAGTCATCAGAACTTACTTGAATGTCTTCCACAAGATACTCTTATTACTTCATTGGTTGTCTTCAACACTTTCAATAAAACAACCAAACTCCATAAACAGATTGTATGTTATTGGAAAACCAAATAATTGAAAACAGAGGACCAATTCCAAACCATTAAGCAATCCAGAGGAGTAACTATCCAGACAATATATTAAGGAACAAGAACACTCCCCACAACACTTCTTGAGAGCTTCCATAAGGGCCACCTGGAGAGTGAAATTCAAGGCTTTTTGAGGAAAAAGAACACTCCCCATAACAACTCTTTATTGGTTCAATATTTTATCTTTTGGCTACTACTTGGTGTAAAATGTGGCTCCTTTCAGCCATTATAGCTTGAACACTCTATTGGTACACTCTTCATCCAATTGGAGAAACTTTTTGTAACTTCATTGGATAGGGCTTATATTAAACAATAAAATTGTTTCCTTTGAAAATGGGAAATTAAAAACAAAAATTCAGAAAGTATATTCATAAGCATAAAGACCAGATGCGTACAAAACAGGACTAAATTGTGTTAAACATAACTACCCAGAAAAGATATCATGACGCGCACACATCAGATGCATACAAAGTAAAGAACAATCTCGTAAAGCCATGCACCATGCCTACCCAGAATAATAATCTCGTGGCAAGTAAATGTCCTTAAGAGGACCAAACCGCCCAAATAACCCACGTAGGTCCTCTGGCCTGCAAAACACGCAAGTATGAAGAAGTTAATCGACTCAATACAGAACAAAAGCAAACACATTTTTCGTTTGTCCTTTTTGTTCTCAACAATTGAAGCTCCCTACAGCCTAGCGTAGTTACTTGGAGTCTTTTTTGGCTGTTCTTGTATGACTTAGTTTTTGTCCTTTTTCTTAACAAGTTTTCGCATTTTGAGAAAGAAAATACATTCTCAACCAAGCAATGAGACATCATATAAAATACATTTCAAAGAAAATAACAAACGAGGATCTTCAAATTTCCAAAGAAAGGGTGGGAAAATCCAATTTAAATCTCTATTGCTTCTAATAGGAAAAAAAACTAGACATCAAGCTGAGAAAAGTATCAACCTGAGAACAAATATTTGTAAAAGAACCCTTTAATCCTTTATTCTTACTTCAACAAATACATATATTGAAGTACATCATACAGCATGGCCTAGTGCTCTCCTTAGCATGCACGTAAAAATAAAAATGTGATGAGAAATGTAGCAGCAACCAACACATAATAGTATGGATAAAAGACCTTGACACGTGAAAGACCCCTGGAATATTAAAAAAAAATAAGTGCCAAGATTTGGATGTACGTTGCAGTTTTAATTGAAATATTCAATGAGAAATCAAATTTAAAATTTAAATATATACTTATCATTGGCATCTCATTAGATTTCTAACTTCTAGTTCGTATTTATCATCCAAATAATTTTTGTGATAATAGCTTTAAAAGTTTCCTTGGCATCCTAATGTAGTAGGGTTAAGCAGTTGTCCCGTGAGATTAGTTGAGATGCGGACACTCACAGATATTAAAAAAAAGTGATAATAGTAGTTATTTCTTGATTCTATCCAATTGAGGTGCATTTTAGTAAGCTTTTTGGCTGCATAGTAGATTTCTTATCTTCCTCCTTTTGCGTTTGAACTTTCTTTGATACAATAGCTTCTTATCAACAAATATGAAAAGATAAACATCCATAAACCATCACATAATTCTACATAATGAGATTTATTGGATCATAAAGAAATTGAAACCAAAGGAAGAAAAAAACTGGAAAATAGATCGTGAATGGAAGAAACTCTTGCATTAGAAAGATTAAAAGACCCATACATACATACATATATAAAGAAAGAGAATCCTAGCATCTGAACCCTTAAGTGAAAAGAAAATGAAAAATGCAGTTTCAAACCTGCAGTCATGTCGTAGGTTCCGAACCAAAAGGCTTGTCGGTAGATCCCTTCCACGGCCTCCTCGATCCCGTGGACTAGGGCTACGATGTCTCCTACCATAACTCCTTGGTGGGGAGGGACTATAGCTGTAACTTCTACCTCTCATTTTCAATTCCCTATACCAACGGCAGGCAAATTAAAACAAATCATGGTGCCTAAAAACAAATAGCACAACAAGATGCAGATAGACCAAATTTCCTAACACATCAATCAGCATGCTACCACAGATTTATGCCATCACTCATAAGAAGTATTCAGCGAGATATTTTTTTCTCTTAATGGAACGAGAACAATTATAGAAAAAGAATTTTCGAGAAGATAGACCATTAACAGGCTAAGAAATTTTAAAACGGTACTAAATTACAAAAATGTAAAAGATTCATCGAGCGACAAACTAGTCACATTACTCATAAGCTTCGATCAACTGCTCCAATATCTCTGCAGAACAAAGGAGATTGATTTCGGAGAGATCAAAATATTTCCACGCAATCAAAAGATTCTCACAAAAATTCTTCTCAAATCAAACAGAACCTCAAAGGAAGATCAATTCTTATAGTAAAACAACGACAAATAGACAAATCCGTGCATAGTTGCAGCCTTTTTCACATCTACCGATCTTCAGATGTGATCAGATTCATAGCAAGCATAATTCAGCATAAAATATGGGGGAAAATAATCTCACGCATAAGTAAATTATAGTATCATTATTTGTCAAATCAAAACTCGATCAAATCGAATCTCCGTTAGCGAAAACATTGAAAGATAAGAGAAACAAAGCGAAAACAAAGAGAAGAGATGGCGAAAACCTGAGAATCAGAGGATTCGGAAAGCCAACGGAGCTTTTTCGTTCAATCTCACTCGCTGTGGAACAGCAAAATTCTTCGATCTTCCTTCGGCTTTCGCCTTTCTGTACCTCGAACGCTCTCTCATGTTCGAGAACCTTCTCTCGGCTTTGATTCTGTAGTTCGCGGGTCTATGGTATCTCATGCGGACTCTTTTACGATCATTTGTTAGATTGAGATCGACGATAATTTTTTCTTTTTGTTTTTTTTGGTAAGAGTACCATAAATTGATCCATTTTATCCTTGGATTTCAAAATCTGACTGTTTAATTCATAAGATTTTGAAAAATGCTTCCTGTATATGTAGCATGTTTTTTTTTTTTAAATTTTAAATCATTTTTTATTGCTAACGTGGAAAAAAGTATTATAATTAAAATTAAATTACAAGCTTTTGAAAATTCCTTTTTTTAAGGGTGTAACGATTTCTATTTTTGGATTTTGGTTTTTAATTTTTGATTTTCTGTTTTCTATTTTTAGTTTTTAGTTTTTAAAAAATAAAAATCATATATGTTTGATATTTATAACAAATTATTATTTACTAGTATACATGATTAGAATTAGTTTTTAAAAAATATTTCAATGGTGGTGAACAAAAATAAGTCTATTTAATAATAAGTTGAAAGGGTTGTTTTTGGATGTTGAAGCCACATGATTTATTGACAAATAACTCCTGGAGGTTGGTTGGTTGAGATGTAGAAATTATTGCAAATAATATTGGAAAAACAATTTCAAAATACATTCATTTCATCTCTTTTTAGGGATCCCTTTGTAATAAATATTTTTAAGTCCAAAAAAGTCAAACATCATGATGTGAAAGAAGATTACACAACCGACACAAATAAATTATCCAAAATTGAAGATAACTCCATCCTATTGATAATTATTTTGTTTTTAACTTTTTGTTCTTTTGAAAATTAATCTTAAAACCACTCCTTCCATTTATATATCTATGCCGTTTGTATCAACCTCTTAAAAATATTTTCAAAATCTAAAATATATTTTCGAGTTGGAATAACTGAAGTTTGAGTTGCTCGATCAAGTAAGGAAACTCGATGGAATTCATAACTGCCTCAATATTTTATATAAAAATCTAGATATAAAAAATAGAGATTCGGGTAGTCATTAATAAAATAATATTTTAGTTCGTAATACGTTTATCTAGGTAAAAATGAATTCCATTGTGGAGCCGTATTTGAAGAAAGGAAGGATCCTAAAAACTCGATCTTTCTTTTAGTTGTTGAATCTCTCTTTGATTGATGAATGTGTGATATTCCGAATCCTCATTACTAATGGAATCGAAATGATCTCTGGATTGATTCGAAGATCCTTTCAATAGGAAGAAACAACTATTCCCTAGATATACACGTCGTGATATTTTATTTATTTCACAATTGAATCACTTACCAATGAAATTGTACAAAAACAAGCCGATAATTTCTAAAAGCAGAAAACTAGAAACCAAAATGATTATCAAACAACGCCTTAATTCTTCACATAAATTCGTCAGATCTCATTTTAAGAATCAATCTTGAGAGGGATGATTCTTATCTTTGAGGCGGAGAACTTGACTCAAAACCTTCAAAAACTGAGGATAAGCTATTAGCTGAGGGAAGTGGCCTTCAGAGTTCAATATCTTCACATTTGCATGGCCACCCATCTTTGATTTCATGTAAAATGCAACAGATTTTGGGACAATATTGTCTTTTCTTGTGAGAATAATTGTGGATGGAGTCCTAACTTTTGGTAGAAGCCTTCTCAAGTCACTTAAGAACACCTTTTTTGCCACACTAAGGGCAATTTTTGGCTTCATTCTTCCCAAAGAGTGCTCAAACTCTGAAATTGCTTTTGAATCATTCACTGCCACTGCAAAAGGAGCAAAATTTTTTACCCAATTTGTGAAGTTTTGATCCATTTGTTTGAAGATTCCATCAAGTTGTGGCCTCTCAAAGCCCCCATAGTATCCTTTATCATTGATATACCTAAGTATGGGAAAAAATGCAAATCAAGTTGTTAAAGCTATCTAAAAAAGGTTGAATTTACCGTAACGTATCATCCTAAGCTTTTGAGTTGATTGGATATTTAACACAAATAACGAAAAATCATAAAGATTATTAAACCCTTTTAGTGTTTGGTAGGTTGGTGTGTTGTTAAGGATTCTAAATAAAAGATATCATATCAATATTCATGGGATTTCATCTCAAAATCAATTAATAGTTCATATATCTTATAAACCTTGTAAGGTATACCTTGATTTTTTCGATGTGAGAAACTTAACACTCGTGATCTCTTTATCCCAACAAAAAGGAAAGTATTTGACTCCTTAAAAGCAACTTTGTTTTCACCACCCTTAAATATTTGACAACTAAGAGAGAAAAATGCAAAAGTAAAAACCTTTTTCTAAAAATTAATGAGTTGTAAATTTTTTAATAGCGGTGAGGATACGATTTGATCTGATAAAGAGCCCGTATTTTCCTTCCAAAAACGAAAACAAAGCAGAGAGAACTCTTTATATCCAACTAAACAAAAAGAGAGACAACTGAGCACCATCTCAAAATCGTCATCCGTCGTCAACCAAAAACAAAGAAGAGATATGATCCAAACGCCTTATAAAAAAATCGTCGTCCTTCGTCAAAACGAAGTCAAGAGAGCACGAGAAAGAAAGAGAGAAAACTTAAGAGAGAGGAGATCACCTTGGCGAAGCATTCAACAAGATAAGATGAGTAAAGAGTTGAGGCCTATAGGTTGCAGCAACACATCCAATCATGGCAGACATGGAGTGACCCACATAAATACTTCTTTCAACATGGAGATGCTCAAGAACACACACCAAATCTCTTGCATACCCATCAAAACTTGAGTACTTCTTCTCATCATAAAGCTCATGCTTCACATTTGGAGAGAAAATCGAGTCGAAAACGACCACTTTGAAGAAGCAAGCAAGGTACGGGATCACGTAGCGCCACACGCTTTGATCCAGACCGAACCCGTGAGCCAACACAACCGTCGCCGTGCCATTGCCATACACATTCACATTCAAAGCTTCAACAATGGCTGCCTCACCACAGTTGAAGAATCCACCATGCATTTTCTTTTGGCTCTTTTGGGTACTATTTCAATAGTTTGGTGAAAGAGGATAATGGAATATGGATTTGGAGTTTGAGATTGTGTAGTGTGGAGAGAATTCAGTTATGTTAGATGTGTATTTATAGTTCTTTTGCTTCCTAAAAAATTATTATTTGGATTTTGTGATATGATAGTAGGCAAAAAGAACATGTTGAGTAAGATATTTTTATGATTGACCCTCAAATAGCACAAATTTTTGGAGATTAAAAGTATAAATTTTTTTTTTTAAAAATTTCTCGAACATTTTCTCTCACTAATTTCTCGTTTTATACTTTTTGTTCAAGCTATTAACTTCTTCACTGCGTAATCAAGTTAGATTGAATTTGATAATTTTTGTTTTTTTTAACTCGCACCTGTTTAATCTCAAATATATCCAATTACTAGGACAGATTACTTCACCTCACTACACTTTCAAAAACGATATAAACTACAAATTAATACACAAAATTCACCATGTCTCCAATGGTTAAAACATCTATCTCCGACTTACTTCACCACATGTTTTGTATTTAAAAAAATAATAATGATAAGTAGACATGAAATTTAAAATACAAAGGAAGAAATGTAGAACTCAACCATGTATGATCACAAAACATTAGTCCCTTCATCCTTAAAAGGAGAGCATATGGAACCACAAAAGGGTGCCATTGTCTTCTTGTTATTAATTTCCTTCCCACCAAGGGAAGGTGAGTTATAATTGAATTGGTTGGGACCTTTTTAAAGACGGAAAGTGCATACAAAGTTTATAAATAATAGTGTTTTAAATACTATTTTAGTCCACGAGCTTTCGACTTAATTAATTTTATTGGTATACTTTCAAAATATCTATTTTGGTCCATAAACTTTTGAATTTTGTTCATTTTAATTCATCGTATTTTAAAATGTCTATTTTGGTCATTGTACTTTTAGAAAATAACAATTTGATCCCTATTTGCAAAATTTTAACATAAATTTTATAATTGACATTTTTTAATACAAATTTATAGTTACATTTCAAAAAATCTAATGAGTGAACCGTCATGCTAAAATCATGATAAAAAAAATAAAAAACCAAGATCCAAACGGGCATCTTGAAAATGGAAAAAACAAGCACTAAATATATAAAAGCTGAAAATAGAGAGTTCAAAATAAACGTTTTAATAATATATAGACTAAAATAGACAAAATTAAAAGTACAGTGAGAGAGTATTTTAGACTAAATAATAGCGTCCAACAAAGTTGCCGACCTAAATTTACGACTGTTCATTACGTTTTTCTTTTTGAATTTAATGCTTTTTGTCCGTTTGATAGTGACAGAAAGCTGCTGCTTCTTCCCCGCTGTGCCTCATTTAATGAATCTTTACCAAATGTTCATAGACCCAATTTTGAACTCTTTTTTTTTTTTTTTCCTTTTCTTTTCTTACCTATAAAGTATATAATTTCCAATTTTAGGATAAAGCAAGGTGGGCGAAAAATAATTTGATTCAATTGCGACAAATTGATTTGATTTAATTCGTAAGATGTATTTTCCAAGAGCTAGAGGGAGTTATTTCGTTGCGACAGTCTGTGGCTTTTCATCAAATGTTCTATCATTAAATATGAGCCATGATAAAAGAATTTTCTAAAAATACATAGCATAATCATATAGAAATTTTATCCAAAATCCATTTGATAATGTTTCAATTTCTTATTTCTTGTTTGTATTTTTATTATATATCTAAATATTTGCTCCAAAACATAAATAAAAAGGTTGTTTTATCATTCATGAATCCATAAAAATTGAGACCGTCAGCAGAAAGTCAAATGGGGTGCAATTTCCATTTTTCTTTCTTCTTTCTACTGGGTAGTATAACTATTATTTGGTATAAATAAAAACTAGGTAGTTGGAAAGATTTCCTTCTACTTGGTATATTTTTACTTTACTATTAAATTTTGTTTTTGGACAAAAAGAGGGAAAGAGAGAGAGCCACATGATATGATATTTTCTTGCACATGCTCTCACAGAATGGTCAATTTTCCTTGCAAGCAATTACACGTTTAGTTGGCAAACTGGATTTGAAACAATCGAAGGAGAGTACCTACCTGTCTATTTTGATTCAATTTAAAATTGAATGTGACCCCCATAACGTGACCATACAGCTTGATGTAAATTTGAAATCGTGCCCCTAATATCCTTTGAGTACAGATCCAAGATAGTTCTGTAGTTTCTTTCATATACATCCAACGGTGTAATACTAACCGTCATATTGTTCTAGTCTGATCTAGTAATCTCCTTTGCTCCTAAAAAGCAAATTAACAGACCTCTGATGGTATGCATACATGACCAGGTTCGAAAGACATTGAATCTCTGCTGAGACCTTTTCACCCTGAATTGACTTGATGATTACTAAAGAAGTAAAGAAATAGGTTGTTCAAATCTTACGGTGACCACCTAAGATATTAAAACTTTTAAGAGTTTTCTTGAGAAGCAAATATAGAATCGAACATTTGTCCTGCAAAATTAGTTGGGACGCAAGCAAACTGGCCCAACCACTCACAAATTTTACGAGTTTTCTTGAGAATCAAATGACTGGTCCAAGTTCGGTGGGATGGAAATCTGGTCCTCAATAGAAGACAGAAATATGAACATAAATTACACGCATTCCTATTATCCAACTAAGCATGACAGTCTGACTCTTATCTGGCCAAAACCCCAAACATGACACTATTATCCAACTTAACCCCAAACATGACAGTTAGGAACTGTACAAAATTCAACTCTTAAAATTTTTCAAGCTTCTACAATATCAAGTAAGAAAAGGGAAATGGGGAATTCCAAAATCTTAAATAACACACCTCATTTTCAGGAGCGAAACCGAGAAGATAGCAACCAGATCCTTACTCTAATGAGCCAGTACACAATCACATCTTCAGAATCTTCGAGATCATCGGTATTGCTTTCTCTTCAGCGAAGAAAAACTACTGCCACAACCAACTCAGAAATTGTGGATCTAGAACATCAAATATCCTGCAGGAACTCAAGAAAATAATATTTGGCATCCGAAGTAGACTCTGGAGCCATACATATAAATGTACACATTGGAGCACAAGTTATAAAGGGTAAGAAGCAAAAAACCCCCAAATGATGCAAATATTCAACGCAAGTATAAAATGAAAATTTTGTCTATCAAAACCCTGCAATAACACATAAATATGGGCCATAGTAAAGAGGCAACTAAAATAGCCCACCACTTGGCTAATGTACAGATTAATTTTCCTTTACCTCCATTTTATCTTTCATTTTCAGTTGTAAAACTATGTATTTCTATATACCACAGAAAGAAAATGTTATACAACTACAGTCGAAAGGAACACATTTATTCACCTGTACAGGTACTGCTCTGCTCGAGTAAAAAAGGCAACTTTGAGGAGTTTCTGGTGCTTTAAGATATCAACAGTTACACTGACCAATCTGCAAAATAAGATCGCAGCTGTATGTGTTGCCATCCCTTCAATAGTAGCATGTGAAGGCACCGAAGGTATTTACCCCAATATAAGCTTCCGTGTAGGTATTCCGATTCCACAGCTTCGTGGCACCAAAAGTTGAGAGATTGTAGACTAATTGAGGGCATAATGAATTCTCTCAAGAAGTTGCACAACCTGATTGATGGGGATGGATGCAGGCAACGACTTCCCGCTTGATTTTGCTGCATTTCGAGAGCCAACAGGTGATGATAATACTGACTCTTGTTGCATGCTTGTAAGCTCCAAGAACTGAGTCAGAATGTCCCCATCAAGTATTTTTGGAACACCGGTCTGAAAACCAAAACAATCAAACAGGAAGAAATTTTGTTAGGAGGGGAAAAAAGGCTACAAGACTGGGAAGCATAAGATTTAAGTTTTAATCACATTTAATAAGAACGTGGATTAATGAAATAACAGAAACGCATAAAACCCAATGCATAGCATAAGATCTAATGCATCAAAATTTATGCTGTGCCCATTACAGAAATTAAGGGTGAAAAGCCACATTACTAGCAAATGGTTGGAGAAAGGATGTTGGGCCTGAATCTTTGGAGGATTAGGGCATGTAGCTATGAACTTAAGTGTCAGGGGCTTGCTCCCTCCTTGCCCACAACACCAACCAAAAAGGGAAGGAGTCCTTCTCCAGGGGTAGGAAAATTATGATAAGGATAGTGGACCGGGCTATGGGATTAGAATTCTTATTTTTTTTCTTTCTTCCAATAGCTTATAAGCATGTATAAGATTTTTTTTTTTTTATAATAATAAATCTCAAAAAGAATATATTAATGATAACCTTTAGCATTTTGGCAAATATCACCTTGCAGTTTCCACACTAAAATTCAATTAAGAAAATGTTCTATACACATTAGTGAAAGGCGATGATTCTCTAGACTATGAGAAGAATTAGGATAAGATTTCCTTCTCTATTTATTTTTTCTTGGTATAGCCACAAATCTGATATGATATTGAACACACATTAGGTAGAAATAAGATTCGACATTCAAGAAACCCAGGGGGCGCAAGGTTGTAGGGTCTTTGGAGAAGATGGTGAGGGACTTCACCTGGAATAGAGGTAATTACTGTCATTAGCCACTTCGTGAAATGGAGTTTCCTACTCAACATGGGGAGCTAGGAGTCAGTTCTTTCAAGCATAGAAATAGAGCCTTCTCAAATGTCCGTGGAGATTCTCCCATGAGGAAAATGCTTTATCGAGAAGGGTGATAGTGGGTATTTATGGGGTACGATGGTTTGGTTAGATGACCAAACCAACCAAAGGCAGGTCAAGAGGAAGGCCGTCAGTGGATATCGACAAGAACAGAGAGGGTTTCCTCAACATTTCAAAGTTTAAAGTTGTGGATGGCCAAACAATACACTTCTGGGAGGACACCTGCGCAGATGGTCTCCCTTTCTCCACGTCCCGATATCTACTCCCTATTGTTGGAAAAGGGAGCCTCAATTGCCTCTTCGCTATATTGCAGATCGCCAAGCATGGGACTTTGGGTGAGAAAAGGGCTCTCTAACTGGACAAACGAATCCTGGGTTGCGCTCACCAAGAAGCTTGATTTGATCCAACTGGGGGAGTATCAAGACAAGCTTTTTTATTTGATAGAGTTTTCTGGCACGTTCTCCTCCAAATCAGCTTTCCTCCACCTCACCAAGTCTAACTTCATTCGCCTTGTGAATCTTATCAATCCTTAGATCAGATCATAATATCTTCCTTCATTGCCCTTTTGCTCTCACGGGTTGGCATTTTGTGTTGAAAGAATTTGGTCCATCTGTTAGTCTCCCTAATTGGTAAATGATTGACTTTTAGAAAGACTTGTAGGCATGAAATTTAAAAACAACGCTAAGGTTCTTTATAATTGTGTAGTCTCACTCTCTTTGATGCATACTTGGGAGGGAAGGAATCCTAGGATTTCTGATGACAAGTACGTGAAGATGGATATGTTTTTTGTATTAGTATACAGTATCGTATATTACATTGTGGGATTGCTGTAACCACACTAAATTCCTTTGTAATTATAACCCATTTATGCTTTCTTATGATTATGTATGATTGGAAGGTTGTCTCTTCTCATTTTCTGTCAATTTATCTTTTCTGAGTCTCTTGTCAAAAACTAAAAGATTTATTTTTTTTTTGTTGCTACGAAGGAACCTTTTTGTTGAGGCCTTTTTGCCCCTTGAGTTTTTTCACCAATCCTAGTGGGGCAGGAGAAAATAGTCAAAAGGTGGGTTTTTTTTTCTTTGGAATTTGAAGCTAAACCCAGAGAAGGCATAAAAAGGGGGAAAGCAGAGATCCAATATTGCATCAAGGTGAATCAAACTAAGTCCGAAGTTAAAAGGCCCAACAGAAATCCTCATTTCCTGTTATATATTTATTTTAAATTTCTACTATTATTTAAAGAGTGGCCACAATTCTAAACAATAAATATACGGATGTAAAATCTTGGGTCAAACAGAGTTTCCCCGGAAGATAAGTGGATAACTAAAGAAGAATCAAAATATTATTTGGTCTCCAACTAACGCAGATATTGTCATCATCTTGAAAGAAAGCTTTGAAGTAACAAGTAACAAACTCAAACACATGACTAGCGTACTAGAGGCTTTTTTCTTCTCCATTTTCTTATTTCCATTCGTGTGTGCATGATTAGTCATAATCTCACAGTTAATAGTAGGTCACTACAGGAAAAATAAAAATAAAACTAAACATTATCATCTCTTACTGGGTTTTCACGGCTACGATACTCATAATGATCATTCCCCAAAATTGGACGAGTTAGTGGATGAACGGCAAGTTTAGCCTGGACAGCTTCTAGAAGTTCATATTCATCCCTGAAAAACCGGAACAAATGGACATTCAATGAGACATCTACATATTGACGAAAATTCCAAAAGCCCAATGAACTTATCCACAAAGAAATTTGATTATTGAAAATTCTTTGCCACAGGCATCTCTACAGGTTGACTTATTGGTGACATTAATGTTAGATGAAAGCATCAAACATATGAAAAACGGCACTCCATACGTTTGCAATTCATATCATGAGGACCACAATTTAAAATATAGAGGAGGAAGCCCCTGTCCCCCAAACAAAAATAAAGGAGGAAGAAGAAGAAGGTGATGATGATAGATAAGAATACAAATATTCCCTAGCAAAGATGTAGTCCCCCATTGTTTAGTGCTCTTACTGGGGCAAACATTTTTTGCATATAGATAATCCCCAATAGTAAATAATTTCTTGAAAGTGCCAATATAGGTGCAGTTTTTTTTTTTTTTTTTTTTGGATAAGAATCTGAATATATTGAAGAAAAGGAGGAGAACAAGCTAAAGGCAACGCCGAAGAGGCCCTCCCTAGAAACTACCTCATTATAGCTTTCCAATTTTGAGAAATTAAGAATATACTATAATTACAGAAGAATCTCTTACAAGTAAAGCACCAAGAAGCCGTAGTAATTTGTACATTTTCACAAAAGACATCAAGAGGGAGAGAAGTATTGTTAAAAACTCTTTGGTTTCTTTCCCTCCAAATCCAAAAGCAGTTTTCAATCTCTCATTCCTATATATGATTCTCCCCAATTGAGACCTCGTCTAGGAAAACAAATCTGTCAAGGGAGCGGTAAAAATTTTCAAATCCTTTGTAAATCCTCTAAAAAGTGTTCATTTTGGTACATTGCAAATATGCATTTCTTCAAGCTAACGTTCCTCAGATTCTCCCAAATTGAAACTTCATATTAAAAATAAAATAATAATTCAAAAGTAAAAAAAGAAATTCCATAAAGGGGGTGGTGAAAATACTAAAATCCTTTGTAAATCCTTTAAAAATGTAGCCAATTACAACATAAAAATGTTCATTTTTTTTGGTACTGCAAATATGCATTTCTTCAAGTTAACGTACGACTGGTTACTTCTGAGACAAGAAACCTTAAGGTAAATATTATAAATATGCTGCAAGGAAACTATAAATTATCTAAAATGGGGGTTGAAAATCTTATTCATTAACCTCATAAATATGCTGTATGTGCTAGGTGCATTAGTGCGGGCGAACGTCGTTACCAATCCTTCAAAAGGTCATTCATTAGAATTAAAAGATTAGTTCATCTTCCACTTATCTCCAAAATTAATTCCAACCTCATAGTATCCACTCCCAAGATCAAATACAAAAATATTTTACAACCATGTAATTGGTCTAAAAGATCAGTCGGCCCAAATTTTTCTTGTTTATTTTTTTGGTCTAATTCATCCTACCTATATACATTCAACTTACACTTAGTTATATGAGCACACTTCTAACTGTTTTCCCCCTAAAGCTACCTGATGTTTGTACAACACATAAAGAAAAAGAATATTCAACTAAGTCAACACTCATGCAATAGATTAACATGTGGACAATTTTCTCACAAAGATGGCAGAGAAGTTTTCTTTTTCTTTCTTTTCTCATGAAGAGAAACTGAAATTTCATAGATTTCATAGTAGATTGCTGGAACTTCGGTAACCTCAAGTGCGATTTTGGGATTAGATGACGCCTTTTTGACACGGAGATTGATAGCTGGGTGCTTCTCCTTGAAAAGTACAATCCGTCCATCCTTGGTAACAGCTTAGATAGTATTCGATGGGTTTAGAAGCTTTGGGTTCTTCCACTTCAAGGTCCACATTTCTTAATTTCTTAGTCTCTCTAATTCCTCCTCAAGTTGAGAGTTCCTCTAGTGGAGAATGTTTTGGAAATTCAAAGTTCCAAACAAGGTCAAGTTCTTTTTGTGGTCTTTGGCCTATTGAAGTCTGAATACGTAGAATAAACTCCAAACAGAGTTCTCTTCGTGAGTACTCTCCCTCTATGTGCCCGTGCAAGAAAGAGAGTGAGAGCACTGACCATCTCCATTGTTTGTTCACCTGGAAAGATTGGGATTCTCTGTTGGAAGTTTTTGGTCTTCATACTTGCCTCCTTAAAAAAGTGGATGATTGGCTCCTTGAAGTTATGGGAGAGTGGCATTTCAAAGGGAGAGCTAAGACTGTTTGGAGAGGGCTTTCTAGTGGCATATTTGGAAGGAAAGGAAGTTTCAAGCTTATGCCATCTTGGTGTTGCCCAAATCACACAAAATTCATTTGTAATAATAGTCTTCTTATGGTTGTAAACGACTGAAAGACCTTTTTAGTTTAGCTCTTTGGCGAGGGTTCAGGGTTCCCTCTACCCCAGGCCGCTAGGTTGTTCCCCTTTCTTTTTGTTCACTATATTCTCAAGGTTACTTATAAATAAATAAATAAATAATTTCATAGATTAATATATATATATATAAAGAAGAAGGTGGGGCAATAGAATACTAAACTTATGCAAGTAAGCACTTTCATACAAGGAGGGTGAATGGACATGGAAAAACATTAATGATCTGGTCAAGAACACGAACCTCGATAGAGGAGTGAAGATCACAATGCTCCCTAATAATGTACTGGCAATAATAGTGTTGTGTGATGAGTCAAAATCAGAGCCAGTGCCAGCACAACCTCTCAACAAATCATCAGCTGGAAGTTTGTAAGAAAAAGATCCCTACAATTAAAAACACAATGGAGAAGAAATGATTGAACACAATGGAGAAGAAATGATTGAAAGTAACTTCATTGGATAGTCCTTTTTTGTATATTTCATGCTATCGATAAAATTGGTTTCCTATCCAAAAAAAATGATGGATACCAAGAAGGAAAATACTAATTTCCAGACATGTTATGTAAAGCCAGTTTTTTCAACGAGAAATCATGACAACCATCCTTCACACTAAACACAAAATATTAGAATCTCATTAACTATGATAATCAGTTAATTTAGGAATATCGGAGTTTTTTAGTTTTACCTACTTTCAGATTAATTATGCATAAAATTCAAGATAATCCTATTTTAAAAAAAGTATCAATGAGATCTACTTTTTTTTCCCTTATTACTAGGAGTCAGAACTTTGCTCTCCTATACCCAGGGGCACCCACGTCCGCCCCAAGGCATCGATAAAAGTATCATACATTAACTAATTATTTTAAAAACTATAAAAATATAATATCACTGGATTTTTCATGGAATATCTCGCATAGGGCAACAACATACTTTCCTCAAGCTCATGGAAATTTCACCCATGTAATAAGCACAGTTCAGCATTAAGTTGCATTCTGGACTTGCATTATCTGGCAATAGAGAAACAAAAAGTAAGCACCATTTTCTTTTTAGCCAGAACACGTAAATGCAAGTGAAGTTCACTGTTCAACAGAAATCATTCTGCTTATTAATCAAGCCACTATACAGATGAAGTGAAGCCTATATATAGGAATTTGAGTTACCATGGTTAAAAGGGTAACTACCTCTAATTAACTTAACATTCCTAAAAAATAGTTTTGCAATCATGTTAACTAGCTGTGTAGTAGGTAATACTCGGCAGTGATTAAAAAAGAAATAGACTACATCCAATCCAGCACCCTGAAGAAAATAAAACTCATCCCAAGTTTAACTAGTCAAGGTAGACTCTGGTCTTCTTCTTAAATGAAAAAGTGATCTTCTGGAATTGAAATACACTGTGAGGAATATTCATTATAGAACTATCATTTGGCTTGGTTTATGCTTTGACTACTCTGCTCGCTCCCAAAAAAGTAAGACTCCCACAACATCAATGGGCTAAATTGGGCTTTTATAAAATTCTTCCAACAATGTTAGTCTTTCTGTTAGACCCCGAAAGAGTGGCAGAAAACGTGGGGATTAGGTTTTTTTCTTTTTTTTTTTCATTGTTCAAACATGTTTTAGTCATTTCTTTCATGTCTTAGTGGGTTAGGTTGTGTTTCCTATTTTTTAGGTGTAGTGGGGTAACTGTCGGTGAGTCTTTGTAAATAAATACAAGAATTAGTTGGTGAGGGAGGTAGACAATTTCTATTCTAGAATTAGTGTCCAGTAGAGTGTGGAGAGTAGGAAGTCCTCTCAAATTGGCTTTCTCCTAAGTTGTTAGTCTCCTTTTCCTGCTTTGGATTGCAATGATACCCTATTACCTTTTTTACTTTATTCTGAAACACTTCCCAGTGAACTTTTGAAAACCAATGCAAGCATAAAAGTTAAAGATTCTAGATCTTTCATAACTTCATCTATCATACGTTATATCAATATGGTATCCTTAGCTATCAGTTTATGATTATAGGATCTTAACTTCATTGAAATTCATAGTTATTCAGTTTTCCATCAAAAAGGTCTACTATGGCTAGTCCAAAACTACATGCAAGCAATCACATCACAAGTTAGTCCAAGTATAACTTGCAAAGCACATACCATGCAACAATTGCGTCATTTCCAAAAGATAATTCATAGGTGGATAGATGATATCCAATAGGCATACTAGAAAAGTGTGTGCATTCATCCCCTCCTATGTTCACTCTCTTCCTTCACCTACCAGTCATCATTCAACTCTTGTTTTATAGTGTTTGAGATTCTGGGTCAGAGCAGTGCCCATTGGGTCTAAATAATATCGTTTCAAATTTCCTTGCCCCTTATTTCATGTGAAAAATGTATCTTCACTACTAAGTCTTCTAAAGAATAAATAACACAATCGTGTTACACGGATGTGATGGGCTAAAAAGAAGGACATTACATCAAGTTCGTTCTTATCAAGGGGAAGACTGAACTCTCTGGGACAACATTTAAATACCCACAAAACAGAATTTCCAGATCCCCAAGCACTGTCATAGAGAAATATATTGCCTAAATCTAAAAAATGATAACCTTTACCTTCTAAACGATCAGAACATGATAGGATAGCAATGCTTCCCTTGCGATCTGAAACAACAGCAGTGTCAACGTCCAAAAGAATACAATCAGCAACTAGCCTCTGTGATGGATCAGAGTAAATTTGCTCCAGCTTTTTAGCATCCTACAATCCAAAAGAAACGAACTTAGCGATGGACTAGTGCAGTTCAATATACAACAACACTCCATCAAACATTTAAGAAATAATTTCTAACAAAAAACTAGCATCATAAAAAGGCTACTCCCTGGCTACCCAATATTCTTTAGGAGCTTATCAAGAAAATCTAAGCATAAGTTTATGTATTAGTTCCAGCAATGAGAAGGGAAACAAATGGAAATCAAGAGGGTGGGCTGTTTGGATTTTGTGTGGTTTGCGTTTGGGTCTTTGGGTTATTTTGCCTTCATTTCATGGTGGGTGAACAGTATGATTTGGTTGGCTGTGATTCAAATTGAAACTTGGGCAGATTTGGATTTATAGCTAAAGTAAAAGAGGACAGAGGGGGAAGGGGAAAGAAAGAAGACAAAAAAATGAATCCTACTTTTTTTTTGACTGATTTTTTAATTTGATTCAGGAGAAATAATGAATCAATCGCACCCCTTGAGGACAAGTGTGTTTCAGGTGAATGCTAGGAGAACTATTAGGATGAATGTTGGAAATACTATTAGGATCCTAGGGCATATTAGTCATTCATTAAGGAGTGTGTTAGAGAAGTAGTTTTTAATTTTGATATTTGTGATTGTCTAGGTTAGTTTACGTGCACCTAGGTTAATCGGGTTAATCCTATAAGAAAGCCATCTAACTCTACAACATTTAGTCATCAGAAAATTCATAGGATTTTAATATATTAAGTGGTTGGCTGCCCCTTGGCAAGGATTTGGATTCTCTTGGTCATACTGACTTAGAGGTCTCAAGTTCGAACCTTTCGATGAGGTTAATACCAGAAACCCTTAATGTCTCCCAGGTCCAACTCTTGGGGCATGCGCGGGTGTCCCTAGTATAGGAGAGTAAAGCTCCGACTTCGGTTATTAAAAAAAAAGAAATATATATATATATATATTGTAATTAGCTAAAAAATAGTTATAAAGACAAAAGGTAGAAGGGTTTAAGGGTAACCAAATTTGGGAGAATGATTTATTGGAAAATCCATGCTCGCACAGAGTTATTGTAGTTTTACTTTCTCACATCGATAGAAACTTTTACTTCCTTTATCCATTGAAAATAAAAACATAATAATAATATTAAAAAATATACTTCAATTTTTTGGTTCCTTTCATTATTTTTGAGGAAATACTAAAAAGAATATCATACCTAGCATGATTTACGAGTAAATCAAGATGGCATGTAAAGATCAACCAGCAAGTGGATTTTGTAGGATTTTAGCCATTCTCTTTCCATTCTATCAATCAAAGGTTGTTTCTTACTTTTCGAAAGAAAAAGGTAGTATCATAAAACCTTGGGGAAAATGGAGAAGACAAATCTCTGTAAAATAAAAATAAAAGGACAGAATGAAACAGAAATGACAACTACAACTTACCTCTTGATATGAGTAAAAAAGAATACCATCACGACAATCCCCAACAGCAATTCTAGTAACATGAGCAGTCAAAGATGTTATCATAAAACGTGTCCTCCCAACTGCTAACCTTTTCACCCTTTGGGAATTATCACTTGGGAAACCACATACATAAAACTGAAAATAGTATACAGGAGGAAGAATTAACAATCATATGGTGTATATAAAGACCGTTTCAATCTCAATGACGGAAAAAGGAGAATCTACAAGAAGCCAAAAATAGATAACAGAAAGAATGCAACTTACAGCATTACCAGCAGATGCCAGGAAATAACGATCAAGATAAGGACAGATAGCAAGAACCATTCCGGGCCAGGTAGTTGAATAAACTACTCGTAATTGCCAAGCTTCTGTTTCCTCGAGCTTTATCCCATCGGAGCTTGCATCATCTGGACTGCTACAAAGACTACTGCTTGATAACTGTTCTGTAGCATATCCAACAATTTCTCGAAATGGTGAGGTTTGCAGAGAAGATAATCCTGCCTTTGAACAAAAATTCATTGAGCCAGTATCTGAGTTTTGCACATGTTCGAGGCAAAGGACGATCAGCCGACCCTTGGTACTGTTAAAGATATATTCAGTTAAATAAATGGGAATTGAGAGAAAAACCAAATCTGGACGGGAAGTCCAATAGATTTGTTATGAAAATTGCCCATGGTCGGAATTGCAAGTCAAAGTGCCAGTAGAACATATCTTTATGTGCAAGGTGAAGAAACTTGAAAAACAAGACATCTACATAATATTATAGATTTATAATCTTCTTTTTTCCTTTTACAGTAGGAAACAGAACATTCATTAAAAAAAGGAAGAACAAAAGAAATTCAGAGAGCCCCAAGCTAATGCAACGACACAAAAACTATGCAGAATCATAAGGTGCTTCTGGGCACGCACCACAGCTCCCCTGAGGCAAGGCACACTCACTGCACATCACAGCTAGACATGCCTAAGTGCAAGCCTTAAAGCTATGCAGAGGAGTTTTATATAGGATAAAGAATAAAGCAGTATCCCATACAACATTGTATAAATAAAAGTCTGAAACCCTCTGAAAAGTAAGTTTCCTTTCAAGACACAGGCGCTTTTGGATTTTGTTTAACATAAGATCTCAAAATGAAGACATTCTATAGTTGTGACCTTAAGGAAGATAAAAATAGGTGATAAGAAAGGAAACAACCTTATAGCCCACCCATTTCACCCAACGGCTAGTCTTAAGAGGATTGCAATTTAACCTGATCAGAAAACATTTCACTCTTTTAATTTTTAAACCAAATAATAACTCAAACTGCTACCAAAAGACTCTCCACCCCTACACTACAAACAAAATAGAACCATCAACAAATTATAGACAGATAACAAGGACATCGTGATGGCATCTCTCTCTATTTTCTCTTCTCTCCCTCTCATTCCACTCCTTTCCAGAACAAAAGTCAAAGAGCTTCTTTTTAATTCAATGTTTAGAAACTACCCTGCCTTTTCACGATCTACCTATATTCACGACATTAGGAAAAAACACCTGATCCTGCAGGCTACAACAATTGTTCAGGAAACTTGCAGAACAGTTTTAACATTACAAAGTTGGTGCGCCATTGGCTTTTGAACTGATCGGTTAGTCTTTCCCTTGGATGATGAGAAACAAAACTTTCACTAACAAAAACTATTTATAAAGAACCCAGTACTTGGTCGAATCCAAGTGTTATTGCCGCTAGCGCTATGTCTAGCATTCGAAGTCAACAGAACAAAATAACCCAACACCACAATATATAATAACGTCATTGATTCGTAAAATATGTGAAGTCCTAAATGAAAGAAGAGGATGATGAAACAATACCAGCTTATAGTTTCTAAAAAAATTTAAAAAACCCTTTAATACTTCCGACAAGCTCCAACGAAGATTACCCCACATCTATATCTCCCCTCATTGGTGCCGGTGCCCAAATTGCAGAAAAAGTTCTGATTCTCAATATCATATTTTCAGCACTTGTAAGTTAGCCCTTGACTTCTGGAAATTGATTCTCAATGCATTTGGATGGTACACGGTCCTCCCTATGGACGAAAAGCCCTCCTCCACCATACTTTGGTGGGTCACCCATTCAAGAAAAAGAAATGAAGCTCATTTGGATGAATTTTGTGAGAGATCTCTTTTGGATAGGGAAGAAAGGAATTACAGAATCTTTAAAGATAAGGAGCGGTCCTTTGGTATATTATTTTGAAGATATAGTGTTACTTGTTAGGTGTGATTGCTCCCCCTTTATCATCACTATAGTTTTTCTAGTCTATTATCCAATTGGAGATTTATTATGTAACTCCTTTGGATGGGGCTGTCATCCCCTTATATATATATATATGTATAATAAATAAATAAATAATTCAAAGAATACATTGCAAATAAAGATTAAATCTAAAAAAAGTTAATTGGCTGTTTTTGTCTGTTCTAATACATGGTTTCTGTTTCTGATTAAAAAAAAACTTAATTTCCAAGAATCTTCATCCAATAGAATAAAAAATTAAAGAAATTTCATTTAATGACATAAAATGAACAAAAGTGCAAGAAGCACAAAACCTTTCAGCTTCGCCACTGGGCATTATGGCAGGACCAGAAGACAAGCTTGTTCCAACCACAAGAATTTGTTCGTTTCCATTCTTCACTAACTCCATGGATTTTCCCGTCTCTCCAATTTCAAGCTTGAACGATGATAAAATTGACCCACTAAGGGGATCTACACAACATATGTCAGATGAACATGTATCATTAATCAATTGAGTCCTCATCACAAGTAGTAATTTGCTCTCACTGTGATATAGAACCTTCCTTGGGGTGCCCCCAAGCTGAAACTTCTGCACATTAAGTCTCTTGGTATGTACCATCTCTACCTAGAGTATAGCAACCAGTAAATTAGATGGGAAATAATTGGCTTATATCAATGTACTCAATTCATACCCTAAAAGATACCATAAAGAGAACAATAAACTGATTCATCATGAGTGATACATACGCCATTGCTAATATTTACGGTTAATGAGATGGTTAATAGTCCATATATAAAGGTATATATGTATATATCAAAGATTATTAACGATCCTCACCAAATGTAGACTGCTTTCCGCAACAAATAGTAGTCCATTCGGGCATTCAGCAGAACGCACAGGAGTCACATGTGTTGACGGTTGAAATGAAATGGAAGTGTATGAAAGACTGTGCCTTGCACTATGTAACAACCACGGCCTATCACTTAGAGCAATTATATCAGAATCCAGTCTATCAGTCAAAGGAACCAGAAAAACAGGAGTGATCCCAATGCGCCGAATAGCAATCAATTGAAGACTAGAAGGAATTTTATCCTCGTGCTTCTCCAATATCGTAGTATTATACAATTCTTTGCCAAAAGAATCAAGACAAGTTGACAAAAAGGGAACAACAGGACTGTGGCTAGGCATGTGAGATGAGTTCATCATAGTAGTATGATGCCACTCAAAGCGAAGCAACATTCCATTCCTCAGTCCCGTAAGAATATAAAACCTGTCAACTAAAACAAGTCTCACATCTTGAGGAATGCATCCACTAACAGCATTGCCTAAAATGTTCATCAATGAAATAGTTCCCGAAGCAAGGACAATTAGACCTACAGAGGGAACGAAATACAAAATTTCCACCGAAGGCCTATGGGTGCCAATAACAATAATATTATCACTGCTAACCCCGTTTAGTAGAGTGGAAATAATGTTATTTTCTACCGAATTCATAGAAAAACTGGATTCTTTTTGGGAAAAATGTTTTTCGGGAATTGAAATGCATGACAATTCATTCTGCAATCTCAAATATTGCTTTTCATATATTTCATAGTTATATTCTGAAAGCTTTCGAACTCCAAGAATAAATAAGATGCACGGGTTAGACGTGGAAACAACAATCATATTATGTCCAACTGCACCCAAGCTGATACCAATATTATCTGGAAACCAAGATGTGCAAGCTGGAGAAGATAATTCAATGCCTTCAGAATGAGCGACCTTGGTGGGTAAACATAGCCTTACTGCATTTTGATGTATTTGAACCAGTATGCCATCATCTATAAGACCACATGCCAAAGTACAAATGTCAGACTGGAAACCAACTGAATCGGTGACATCAATAAAACTCAAGCCAACTGATAGAACCCTGGTCTCTTCAACAAATGATAATACCATATATGAATGATAAGCATCGCTTAGTTTCATTTTACTAGTCCAGATACCCGTTATGCCTTGATAAATCGAAGCAGTCCTCAACAGATTTTCTACACTAATACCATTTCGAATAATCCTTAAAGACCCATCAGGTGCCATTCCACAGCAGGCGAACATTTGGTCATGTTTCTCATCATGCTTATCAACAACTGACATATCCAGAATAGGAGCAATATTCTGGATGGGATTTGCATATATCAGCCTTCCATTCTCTAATTTCAGGACCATTCCATCCCCCATTTCCACCAGTGCTGCCAAATATCCTCCTTCAACCCACAAAAGCTCCTTGTATGGTAGACCTCTATAAAGACAAGCAGACTGATTCACTTTCAGACCATCGGAGTCAAAATTCATTTCTATCATGAAAAGTTCTCCAGTATCCATGCAGAAAATCATCCTTTGGTTTCTGTCATTGCCTGGTTCCCAACTCCAAGAGCACACATGATTCTGGTTAGTATTCGGACTTCCATCATCGCTGTCTATGCACATGGGATCATAATCCCTTAGTTCCAGCAGTGCACATGCAGCAAAATTAAATAGTCCTTCATCATCTGCATCTTGTACTTTATATGACTCTTCAATAAAATTTTGTTCCACGTTGGTTGGGAAGTGTAAGCCTATTCTATGGACACAACAGGGGCTCTTGGCGTCTCTAAGATCCATCAAGAGAGCATCACCAACCCTAAATAGGAGTGCAAATCCATAAGATTTAGGAACTTCAACAACTTCGTATGCCAGAGGTCCATCTTCTAAATACTGAGAGATAACATATATAATTTGTTCTCTCATATTCCATCCAAGTAATAGCAGCTCATTCAAAATCGCTCCTCTCCTGCAGTATAAAGTCTTTAGCACATAATAAACCCTACTTCCATCTCCTATTAAATACCAAATATATAATAATTTACATCCAAAACTATGCAATCAACAGAAACTTTGACATTCCATCTCCTAAAAGCTTGACATCTGTACCTTACCTATTAAGAAGAACGGCTAGTACAGGATTGTTGTCCTGTGTAAGGTGGCCATGATCTTTTGAAATGAAGCACATACTCCATATGGTCCCACATATACTGGTTTTCTGCATGCTTCGAGGTCCAATCGAATCTCCTTCACTCTCAGAAGGATAAGTTATTCTCTGAAATCAGAGTACTACAACTTCTCAACAGAACATTCTTCGTGAAATAACAATTTTAAGAATGTTAAAATCAGTATACATGGGAGGAAAAGTTATCCGTAAGCCAAAAAGTGTTTCAACCTTATCAACAATATCACTACCAGCAGAGATTGAAGTGGAGAATAAAGCCAATCGGTTTTCATATGCACTAGCAGCAAAAAAGCAGCCACTGGAAAAAAGAAGAGCATGGAGTAAGGAGTTGTTGAAAGAATGGAAGAATATGCACAAGATCTTTTCTCCTTTCCTTTTATTCTTATATCATAAAAGAAAAGGCACATCTACATTTCCAAAGTTAGAATGACAATCAGGAAGTAGAGAAATGCCAGCACACCATTCCAGCTCAGAAGCTCTGTATAAAAACAAAGCTATGCAAAACATTATCATGCACGATGCATCATTACTTGAGGAAACTTAGAACAACAAATTAGAATTCAAAATGACTCTCGATCTATGTTCCTATAAAGCTATGATTTTTCTTATGAGAAACCAAGCTTACATTAAAAGACATGAAAGATAATACAAGGGCGTACAAAAAAAACCAGCCCCTTAAAAGGAATCCAACTAACAAATGGACTCCAATTCAAAAGAATAAAACCTGATAATTACAAAACGATTTAGTAACCGAAGCCTATAAAGAGGTA